CGCACGCACGCACGCGCACCACCACCCACTACGCACGCGCGCGCGGAACCAGAGGTCCGCTACGACACGCGTCCGCGGATAGAGAAAATCAGCGCCATGGTAGGGGATGGGAGGGAGGGGTAGGACGTCAGATATGACGCGAGCGCACCTAGCTTGCCGCCCCCCCTCTCTCCTTTCCCCCCCCCTCTCTCCTGTCCCCCCCCCCCTCTCTATAATTACTCAATATGAATACTACTCTCCTCCTTCCCCTGATGACGGGTTGGGAGTGTTCGCCCTCCCCCCCCCCCGCGTATTGTTTTTTACACACAGGATTCCCCGGAGTTGGGTTTTCGCCTGCATTTTTTCAAAATGCTGCTCTCGCTGAGGCGCCGGCCTCATTTTCGGGCCCCGCTCGTTCCGAATCGTGCTCCCGCTGCAGCGCTGGCCTCATTTCCGTGCTTCCGCTCGTTCCGAATCGTGCTCCCGCTGCAGCGCTGGCCTCATTTCCGCGCTTCCGCTCGTTCCGAATCGTGCTCCCGCTGCAGCGCTGGCGTCATTTCCCGTGCCATGCCACGGCATGCAATGCAATGCTAAGTTGCGTTCCGTTGCGCGATGCCATGCCTTCAGCTGAAGCTGTGATATGCAGTGCTTAAGCGCCACGTCGTGCTATACCATGCTACGCTTTGATCTTCAACGCCATGCTATGCAACGTTATGTTCGGGGCCGCTGTGCGATGCCATGCTTTGCATTGCAAAGCTTTGTGATGGAATTCTTCACTACGCCACGCCACGCCATGCTGTGACATACTACGCTTTTCGGTGCTCTTCTACGCCATGCCATGCCGTGTTCTACAATGCATCGCGTACCCTTTCGGGATCATTGCCCTGCTCGCCATCCGACTGTGCGAGTAGAGAGGGGATCTACGCCATGGTAAGGGATGGGAGGGAGGGGCAGGATGTCAGATATGACGCGAGCGCACCTAGCTTGTCCTCCTCCCCCTCCTCCTCCTCCTCCTCCTTCTCCTCCTCCTCCTCCTCCTCCTCCTCCTCCTCCTCCTCCTCCTACTACTCCCCCTCCTCCTTCCACTCCTCGCCCTCCCTCGGGTCGCCTACGGCCCCGGGGGAAACCGTCCACAGGGCCATTTTTGTCACCAGTTCCGTTTTGCCGTTGTTGTTGCTTGTTCCGGCGTTGTTTTTTGTCCTGTTCATTAGCCGTTTCTTGTGCCGGTTCCGGCTCCGGCTCCACTTCTGGAACCGTTTTTCGCAGCTTCAGGTTGCCGTTTTCTCACCGTCTCCATATTCAAGAGACATTGTTTTGGAACCGATGTCAAAACCAGCCCTGCCGTTTCCGGGGCCCACAAGGGGCCCAGCTGCCGCGACGCTTCTGGCCCCCGGGGCGGTCGGTAAACATGGCTGACTCCGCGTTAGCGGCACTCGCCCTGAGAGCGGTGCCGTCGCGGGGCAGGCGCTCCTCAGAGAAGGAAAGTGCTGGGCGCGGACTAATCGGGGCGCGAAAACATGGGCTGGAAGAAAGTTGCCCTCTTCGGGCCCTCAGGGCCCCTATGGGGCCCTACAGGGCATCTTCAGGGGCCCGAGCGGGCCCCTTTTCTGCAGCCCTCGCTGCCCCCCCCCCTCTTTCTCGCCCCTCCCATGGAGGCGCGCCCAAAAGTGCGCCTCCTTCGCCGCCACCAGGCCGCTTGCCCCGCTCTGGGAAGCCTTCGAAGACTCGAAGAAGAAAAATCACATGAACATAAACTTTGACGGTTCGCACGGATTCTTGGATTTGCGCTGGGGCCCCCTGGCGCCTCGGGCGCCGCCCATGGCGCGCTCGCTCCGCGTGCAAATCCAAGAAATCCCCGCGGAACGTTGAAAGTTCATGTTTATGTGGTTCTTTCTTCCTCTAAAGACGAGTTCGTGAAAAGCACAGCATCTGTCTGCAGCGCTGGAGGTGCCGACCACCCACGCCCCCCTCGAAAGATAGGCGTGATTTCCGCCACCACCACCATGAGTTGAAGGGGGTAGGAGGAGGAGGAGGAGGAGGAGGAGCAGCAGGAGGAAGAGGAGGAGGAGGAGGAGGATGAGGAGGAGGAGCAGCAGCAGCAGCAGGAGGAGGAGGAGGAGCAGGAGGGGAGTAGGAGGAGAAGGAGGAGGAGGAGAAGCAGGAGGAGGACGAGGAGGAGGAGGAGGAGGAGGAGGACGAGGAGGACGAGGAGGACGAGGAGGAGGAGGGGAAGGAGGAGGACGAGGAGGAGGAGGAGGAGGAGGACGAGGACGAGGAGGAGGAGGAGGAAGAGGACGAGGAGGAGGAGGAGTAGGGGGACTAGGGGGACCCCCTCCCCCTCCAACTTGTGGTGGTGGTGGTGGAAAAGAGGCCCCATCATCGAAGGGCCCTGCCCGCCCCCTGGGCGTGCCTGCCTGCCCGCCAGCAACCTGCCCTGCCCCGAGAGCGCCTTCCCCGCAGGAGGCCCCGTGAGGAGCGGCAGCCTCGGCCGGCGCTTCGCTCCCCCAGCGCTCGAGCCCTGACGTGCTCGCGCCGCCGCAGAGATCGCAGGGCACGGCTAGCTCTTCGCGCTGTCTTCGCCCCCCTGCAGGGTCCCTCGCCCGGCCCCGAGAGCGTCAAGAAAACGACTCGGGATGAGAAGCCGGCCCTGGGGAGGAGGAGGAGGAGGAGGAGGAGGAGGAGGAGGAGGAGGAGGAGGAGGAGGAGGGGAGTAGGAGGAGGAGGAGGAGGAGGATGAGGAGGAGGAGGAAGAGGAGGAGGAGTTGGTGATGACCCCCCTGGCCCCTGCCGACCGCGGGGACCTCCAGGGGGCGCCGTCCTGGAAGAGTCGGGGCGTCGCGCGCCTAGGAGCCCATCGGGTCGTCGGGGGTCCGCACGGGCCGGGAGGCAGGCGCCCGAGGGAGCGGACGGCGGGGGGCCTTCTGCCGTCCTCTCTTTTGGGCGGCCGTCTCCCCGCTGTGCCTTCCAGAGCTCTTGCCGCCGCTGCTGCTGGCCCTCCTTCGCAGGCTGCCGTGGAGGAACGCGGCACGATGGCCACGGCCAGGAGTCTGCGGGATCTCGTCGACGCTGGTCTTGGTCCTTGTCCACGCCCCACCGTCGCCGAGTCGCGAGGGTGATGATCCACGAAGTGACCTTGGGCACTGCCGCCGCTTTCTTCCCCTCCATCCCAGACCCCCGACGTGATGATTTCTTCATGGCGCGACCCTCAGAGTTCCGGACCCTTTTCCCGGGGCCGGTTTTTCATCTTGAGTCGTGTTTTTTGACGGTCCCGATGCCCAGTGAGGGCCCCCAGAGGCAGAGTACTTAGAGCGAAGAACCTCATCGTGATTTTGTTCATGATCCGAGGGGGTCTTGCATGCTCCTCTTCCTCTCCTTTCTCTGCCTGAGGCAGCTGCGCCCTGTGCGAGGACAGGGCACATTCCTGGAGCCGTTTCCGCGGGCGGCCCTGGGGCGTCGCTCGGTTTCTTCTGGGGAGGCCAGCGGTCTGTGTGCGAGGGCCTCCTCCGCAGTCCGCCTTGCAGGCTCGAGCCACCTGGTAGATGCTCGCTTGGGGGACCTGCCTTCCGGTTGACCCAAATGGGGGTCCAGCTGAAAGGGGGTGGTGCAATAGTTTGTGTGCAATGCATTTCTGGGGGTGCCATAGATTTGGGGTATGCAATATATTCCAGTGCGCAGAAGTATCGCTGAGTTTTGGCGTGCACTACATATAGCTGCAATACAATGTAACGCAATTCTTTGGCGCAGTGCATTTGCAATACAATTGCCCCAAACTTATTGCACCACCCCCTTTCAACTGGACCCCCTTTTGGGTCACAAGGATTCCGTGGGGCCACCAAACCGATCTGCTCGACTCCATTGTCCGGGGTGGACAGAACCCCCACCCTGACACGTCGATTAGTGAATTGTCCGTTTTCGGTTCTCGAGAGGGCGCCGTGGCCGTCATTCTCCAGGCTTGCGCCCGCCACGTTTGGGCCCGAGGTTCGTTTTCACTAAACCACGTCTTACAAAAAGGGGGTTCTGTCCATCCCCGGTCGAGCTCGACTCGAGTTTGACGCACGATCGGGTGAAGTCCGATGCAGGACACAGGACACAGTTCCGCGCCGCGCAGCCACGAACGAACGCTCGACCAAAACACAAGCGACCCCACCCCACCTGCAGCCCTCCATGTTACGCCACGGCCCGCTCCCAGACCCCCCAGACAAAATCACGACGGGAGGTTGGTCAGAATTTTCAGCCTGTGGAGGCCCTTGCGGGCCTCAGGACCGCCAACAAAACGACTC